TAATTATTAAATATTAATTGAATGTTAATAAAGTATTAAAAAAATAATGAAGATACACGAGTTTTATTTATTTATATCTCTTACTTAGGAATAGTCATACTTAGGATAGGGCGCCATGGAAAAATTTTAATTGAAAAAGGGCGCCGCGACTATGAAAAGTTTGGGAACCACTGCCTTATTATCTGTTAATTTCAATAGCTTATCTTATCTTACTTTTAACAAAAGACGTACCATAATCAGCAAACCTACTCGTTTGAGACCATCCGATCTCATACCCAGTCTCTGGCATGTGCTTGGTCACTTCTGACTGCTGTACCCACCCCCCTTTACAAACAGTTTTGTCTTCCCCCAATCTTTGTCGAAAACCCTTTATGTCTTATCGCAATAACACACAATCTTGTAGCAGCCAGATCTCGATAATGGGTCATATTTCTCTCTAAAAGATAGTATAACAGAAGAAAGTGTGAGGGTTTCTTTAAACATTATTTTCATCCCCCACTTCCTCATTAATTCGCCTATCTTATTAGAAAGAAGGCATGGCTGCAAAATTACGACATGAGGAAAGGTCTTAGCTTGTCTCTCTTTGACTAAATAGTCTCCGTCTGAAAATTTATTTCTCAGCAAAGAGGTGTTATTCTCAATTAGGTCCAAAGGATAATTATTTTCCAGAAATAAATTTATCAGCCGTTCCTACTCTTCAGTCAAATACTTGCTATCCGCTAGCCTCATACTCCTGATAATCATTGACTTTAAAATTCCAACCTTAGTTTTGTAACTATGGTTGGAAGGAAAGGTAAACAAAGAGCCAACATATGTTGGCTTCCTATAAATATATATTCTCTAATTATGAGAATAACCAAAAAGGATAAGGACTCAATCCCTTTCATTTCCATTGTGAATCTGATGTTCGTTTCACGCTGGTTAAATGAAAGTAGAAATCCATTTAAATTTTCCTTACTATGAGGCCGGATGACAAAATAATCATCCATATATATATTCAGCAATTTGGGGGTTAGTCTTGATTCTTCCATGAAGGATTCCTCAAATCTTGCCATATAAGTTTTCACCAAGATTTGTTCGTATAACTTACTATCAACGGTAAAATAGGTGCTATTGGTGGATAGGTTAATAAGTCAAATAATCGACGCTACACTCAGCCTTATTCCTTGCGCTATCGCTGGATGCTCATACAGAGTTTGTACAAGAGGCTGAATAGCTCCTTGAACGTGAATATTTATGGAGATAGACACAAAATCAAAACTTATTAGCCTATATTATTCTTAAATTATTTGCTGATCAATTAATTTTACAAGCTAATGAGAATTTTTAACTAAATATAGCCCAAAATCGACAGTTTTCCCTAGTTGTATGCATAAAAAACGTGAAATGTTGTGTATCATGCTTATTTTATTATCTTCAAGTAACCTAAGAGAGGCACCCTCCTTGTGAACAATAGGGAGACCTTAAGCCGCGGGGCACTTGTAAGACTCAAGGAAAGCATTAACATACTATACGACTAGGATGAAGGATGCCCTTATAGAAGACACCAGCACTAATGAAATGAAGAAGTGGAAAATGAATTCACTAACCCAAACAAATTCAAAGGCCCCATCGACTTACTGTCTTCCTAAGGTCTACAAGGAGAGTACCCCTCCTAGACAACTTGCAACTAATATAGGAAGCATAATGCATAAAATCTCACGCTTTTTATGCATACAACAAAGGGAAACTGCCCAAAAATGAATTAAAATTATAATTTTGACATAAGAAGAATGTCATCTAAAAAGCCTTATTCCATTGTATAATTACAACAGAATATAAAAGCATATATTGGCGATTTTTAATGCCTTTCAGAAAGCTTCCGTCCAATGTGGACACTGAAAAATGGCGTGAACAAGTTATTCGACATCAACATTCCTTTAGCACATTAGTTAAGCAAATCAGCCTAACTAGACATACGAGATTACGCAATCCCAGACATGTTTTATGCCGTATCATTGAAGCTTTATGATCATAGACTGACAGGTTATGACCGGTGGTTTGATAATCTTACTTATACGCCTACAATAGTACATCTCATAGTGTTAATCAGGGTTTCTTTCGAGCTTATCCAATATTTATCATGCTTTTTTTTGCAACATTAAACCTTGATGACCCGGGCCTGACATTTGGCGTTTTTATACTCATTCTGAATTGTGATCGACCTCGAGCTAGGATAGGGTTGGATATTATTTTTGAATTAGTTTTAATCTAAGCTTTTGCCAGAATGAATTCTAGCTCTGACGATGCTCGCCATACGAAGAAGTAAAGCTCAGCCCGTTTTCACTCGAGACTATGGATAGTGTCTTGTGGACTGTGTCAACCTGAACGAAATATAAAGGCCAAACGGTAGCAGAACAAAGGGAATCAGCCGTCGTCTTCTGGTGAGATTCACCCACGAATTGCTTCATCAGACACTTCAATACGAAATCAAATTCTCTACAACTTATTCTAGCTAACCGTATGGCTTATATGCCAACACATGAACTCAAGTGCTTACGGCGTAACGTCTGTAGATCCCAGATTATAGAGAACTTAAAAGAGGAAAGGACTGAAAGAGATAGAGGGTTCAAAAAATTACGTGAACCTGTTCGGTCCCATGGAAGAATGACTTAGGGAGGCTGTAAAGTTTCGTTTGGTTTGTAAAGTGGTCTGATAGTGGCAATATTTATTGTGCACTTAGAAGAGTCACCTTCGACATCGTCATGTCGAGTTGTTCACTGCAGTTGCCGACCGATGTGTCCAAGTCGCAAGCTGTAGTCGCCTTGCCAACCATATTTTTAGAGGCGCACTCGAAAACGAATAGTAACGGTGCCTGTTGCGGTGGCTGCAATTTCCGACGGGCCAAGTCAGTTAGGCGGTGATGGACGAATGCATCCACGGCCAGCCACAATGTAACGGGTCTCTGCGGTCCAGGGGCCAGAAAGATGAGAGGCCCAGGATGTCCTAGCCTGGTCTTTGTCTGAACCATGCTAAGCGGCCAATCGAGGCGGCGGAAGAGACCGACTCCACTGGACATTTTCATTCGGCTGATACTCGCAGTGCCGACCGATTCGCCGCCTCCGCTCATAGCATTGACTGCTCCTGCGCCAGTCGCGGTTGTAGCAGACCAAATGGGATCGACGCTGTTTGCCAGGCTGACCATGTAGAAGGAGGAGATCAGGTCAGGTCCGTAATGACCAACATGCATGTCGCCGGATTCGGCTGTAGTTATTCCGGTGTCTGGAAGTCCAGTGGAGGATAAATGACAAGAAGGCGAGACGACCGATTGTGGTCGGTCTGGCCAGCAAGATGTAAGGCAGACAAAGTTTATAATTAAGTTTGGTCTTTAGCTTAAAGTTAAGTAACGCAGAAAAATAGCTCAACTGAACTAATCAAGTAAATCTCATAACTTGCTTAATGAACGAAATGGATAATTTAAAGGCGAAATAAGCTGGTCTCTGTATAGCTCCATCCATTTACTGTAAGGTAATAAAAGGATTCAATGGTATTGCACTTTCTCCTTTGACCCTTTATTTCACCAAAAACAAACGATCCATTTACGGTTATATGAACTGAAATCAATTGTAACTACAATATATATGTATATACATATATACGTATTTATGTGCATATACATGCATATGTATGCGTGTATGTGTGTATATATGTAAGGGTGAATGTATATGTATGTATATGCAATATGTATATATGTAAGTATATAAATACGTATATACGCACGTAGGTATGTGTATATACATGTATATGTATGTATGTAAAATTAATATAAACATATATGTATGTATGTATATATGCGTATATCAATGTATATGTATGTGTGCATTTATAAGTATCTGGACAAGCTTCAGATTCAAAACCCCAAGATAAGAAAATGAGAAACGTTTATTCTTTTTGCTATTAAACCTGCAAAGTTACAATAACTGGATAGTATCAAGCCCCCCAGAGCGAGATAATGTAGCTCCAAAACCTTATAAAATAAGCGAGAAATGTAAGTTGTCATGACGTCTGGTGGAAAACTCTAAGTTTAACTAGACTATAAACCACCTGGAAGCAAAACTAAGTTTCGTACATACACATACACATGATGTCCCAAAGTAATCAGTAGAGAGCGAGTGAGGGCCATTAAATCTTGATGACCAAGGATAGAATTTACGCTCTGTTCTAATTACTTTAAGCTACTAGTTTCGTATATATGCATACACATGGGGACACGAAAGCACACACAAATGAACATACACACATGCTTCTTGATTAACATGACTTGAACTAACCAGATCACTTTATGGTCCATCAAAATGCACATGTTTAGGGTAGAGTAGCCAATAAGTTTTCTTAACTCGTTAGCTTGAATATGATTGAAGGGTTGATAGCCTGATCTTATGATGCCCATCACACGAAGAAAGAAGGCTGACCACATTTGGGCCGGAATCGAAGAAAAATGTTTTATTAAGACCAATCAACAGCTGGTCAAGAGGAATCTTCCGTCGTCTTTTGGTTGGATCGACCTTTGATGCTATTCATCAAGCACTTTCACTCAAAATGAAAGCATGCTCAACAAGGAAAAAGTAATAAAATCGTCAACAATCTACAACTCACTTTCCACATACAGACGCCTTTTCGATCCTAACAACGAAGTTTCGCTATAGGAATATTCTATTTGCTTAGCTAAGCACAACAACGGATACATGAGTTGTGTTCATCCTATTTAGTTTAAGGTGTGAAGGACGGGTAGTTGATTTTTCTCTCAATGATATGAGTAGAGCTGACGTTTCCATTAAATTTCACATAGCTCGGCTTTCCCTAAAGGTGTTATCATCCAGGATGGAATGCAGTTTCGACCTCGCATAAGTCTTATCAACACCCCAAGCTGGAGTTGAACCATTACAGTGCATCGTGTAAGCTCTACAAGTTATCCACTACGCCACATTGCCAAGAATGCACTTGGGTCACAGGGCAGATGTGAATTTCAAAGAATGCCAGGCATTTTTCATACTACATTCCGTGTTGGGATTGTCGATAAAGCAAACTTATATTTGCTATAACAATCGACAACATTACTTTTTGGAAAAGCAAGGCAATGAAAAATTCAATGGAAAACAACAGCTCTACTCATATTGTTGGAAAAATCAACTACCAGTCCTTCATAAACTTAAACGAAATAGGATAAACACAACTCATATCTGATTTATTGGTAGTCTCAAAAACCAGTGACCAGTTACGAAAAAAGCAACAACAGATAGACTAGGGAGAGCTAAACCTTTAAAAGTTGATAGAACAAGCATAGGCGATCCAGTGACCGTCGAAGATGATGCGATCCGTCGGCTCAGTCTGCTGATCGGGTCATTCCTGATCATCAGCACAGTCGGCGAACAGGCTGGGCCCGCTGGTGTTTCAGCCTTGGATACCACAGCCTCCGGTTCCCCGGGAGGAGCAGCCACTGCCTCATCCATCTCTGCTTCCGGAGGTCTTGGCAATTCGTCAGACAATGCTCCCATCTGTGGCATGTCTGCCTGCATGGTCGTGTCCGGTGGCGTTGGCTGCTTCAAGGGCGTCTGAGGGAGCGTTCCAGTGCCGGAGGTGTCCGAGCGGATGATCGACGGGCGCATTGAGAATAGGTTGATTCGGGGCGAGCTTAAAACTGAGAGACCCGGAAGCCCGAAGAACCAGTTTGGACTGGGACGGTCTGGGGACTGCCGGCCAACGGAGTTGAGTCGATAAGGCGACATTTGCCGACGAGCAGGAGAGCCTCCACCGCGAGGCTCAGCGACGCTTGGAATGACCATTTCCTCTAAAACCGGTTTTCCCTCGCCCACGAGTAGGTCGAGCGAGGCCTTTGGCGTTTTTGCTTTGCCCCGAGGTACCGTGCCGGACATACCGATAAGCGAGCTCCAGAAGCCCGGCAACCAGTAGCCATTTGTGGCAGGAAGAACAGGGGGTTCTGAGGGTGCTTCAGTCACGTGAATGGCCGGCTGCGTAGCGCTGACTGAGTGAAGACCTACCGGAAGGTCAGAAACGGACTCCTCATTCACTGAGACATTAGGCTCGAGATCCGACTGGGTCTGTTCGATTTGGGGTTGAGCTGGAGTATGGGAAATCTGAGGTGAGGATGTAGAGGTTTCGGCTGGTTGTGGTTCGTGGTTTGTGGAAGTGGCTGAGCGTAAATCGATGCTGGGTCTCAGCAAAGGCAGGTACATTTTCTGGTTATCCTGGCACAGCAATGAAAGGTCTACTTGCTCTAGATACCAACAAGTGATGAATGTTAATTTCCCATTAAGTTTTAAATAGAATTGTACTAGAACATAAATTATAGCAAATGTCAATGCATGGCCTAATAGTGAAAGGCAAAGAGGTGTGTAAAAACACAACTTTTAACAAAGTAATGATGAGAGAATGATCTATACTGGAGCATGAAATTCAGTAACCCCGATTTTTTCTTCTTTGAGTTAAATTTCTGGAACTATATTTGGCAATCAAATATATGAAAATCAAGATGCTGTGGCCCCCGGTATAGTTGCAATCTTCTTGCGATTTATAGAAGTGGGTTGACCTCGTTGTCGAAACTTGGTCTTGTTGTCGGGGCAACTTAGTAGAACGCACCTAGTCCAAAGTCGTCTGCCGTATAAGTTGTCATGATTCCCAGCATCAGATAGTGGACTTGGTACATTCTCAAACGTTTCGCCGGCATCGGTGTCAGGATCATCAGTGAGTTTCGCCATTCTCCGCACCAAATTACAAACTCGTCAAAGAGACAATTGAAGTCAATCCCTTGATAAACGTTCTGCTGAAAACGGTTACACAATCACTCGTCTTTCCTTCCTGGCCTGTCTATGTACTCTTTACCCTCTTATCAAACTCCCGTCCTATCACAATTTCCCACTTGTTTACATTCCACTAGTTAAAATGTGTGCCCTTTTGTGGCAAATCTAGCGTGGCCTCATCACACTTGCTATTCACCCCGACCCCTCTTTTCGATGGGTTAAACTAACTCGGGCACATTGGGACTGGAAACGAGTTAACTCGGTCAACCATAAAGATAAGACAATGAGCGTGATTCGGGATTCGAGGCCCGAGTTCGGATAAGCCGATAGAATAAGGAGAGGGTTGGGGGTAGATAGCAAGTGTGATGGGGCCACACTAGAATTGCCACAAAAGGGCACACATTTTGAAGGCTGGACAGATAGCAAGTGTGATGGGGCAACACTAGAGTTGCCACAAAAGGGAACACATTTTGAAGGCTGGAATGTAGGATAGTGGGAATTTGTGATAGGGCGTCAATGGGATAAGAGGGTAAAGAGAAGATAGATAGGCCAAGACAGAAAGAGGAGTGATAGTGTAACCGTTTTCGGCAGGACGTTTGC